ATATATATATATATATATATATATACGATCGTAACTCAGTTATTCAATGATCTTGTTAAGTGATAATCATAAATGTTTATTCAACTGAAGGATGCAGTGTAATGATAAAATGAAACATTTAAGATACCATGTTTAATACCAGTCCTTGATATGGCGAATCATGATTTGAATGCAAACAATCGTCAACCATTAACGGTGCATTTCTCGGTTGAAGATGAGTGCGCTTGCATCAAGGCTGCAAGTGATTATTCAGTAGGTGATGAGGTAACAATCTTCTATGGTAATCGAAGTTCAGCTCAATTTCTACTTCATAACGGTTTCGTTGCTGATGGCGAGAACAAATTCGACACGTATAAACTCAAAATTGGTTCGTTTTTTCGTTACTTTTGCATTGCAATTCCATTTTTCATTTAGACATTGCATACGAATGTGTACATTTAAAACAGTTTTGATCGAACAATTAGTTTAGTCAGCCGCTGTCACTGCAAGTGACTCTCCTTCAAGCACTGTTAGAGCTTGAACGCATGTGATCTCCTGGAAAGTTACAGCTTTCTTTTGTTTTGCTTTCAATAGGACATTCCTTCCCAACCAGTTCTTCGCTCGTATATGGAATTACCTTGAATTGTAGGTTTTCGACGAGATGACAAAAACGGAAAGACGAGATTGCAGTTGATGTATGATGTTGGTTTTAATGTCGAGTCGAGAATATTCGTTTTCGAAATCAGTCTGGGATCAGAACCAGTTCCTCAGTCACTTCTTGATTTTGCCCTCGTTTTCCTAACTGATCAACCATCCTCAGTAACCATTGATCAGTTGCGTTCGAATTGCGAACTGAAGCGAAGAGCATGGAATTTCTTAATGAATCGTTTTGCTCTGCTTCAACGTGCTTATGGATCTCGTCAGCAAAAACAAGTGGATTCTGAGGATCGCCTTATCGAGCAAATGATTTCGAGGTTGAAGCACTCCGAGTTACGCATTCTAAACAACGCTGAGCTGTTCTGTGCTCAACAAGCCAAATCACTGAAATAAAACCATCGCATTCATTCAATTCAGTAATTTTGAGTTGAGTGCGCAGGAACATCTAGAAACGTTCTGTTTATTTTGCGTTGTTTCTTTGCCTGTTAACGAACGGTTCACCAAGTTACAAATATGAGAAAGTTCTCAACGTATTTGATCGAGAATTGGACACCAACAGTGCCGTAAATGAAAGGAATTAAGCGTGTGTTGACACCGTAGTTTATAGTGTATTAAGAATAGTTTGAATTAAGTATTTCTTGTAGATGCCATTGCACAGTTTCTGCGTACTTGTCTGTGTGCCTTTTTAACTAGTTTAATATATTGTTCTTATCATTTCTGATTACATTTCATGTATGTATAATCCATGCAATATTTTTTCGTAATATAGGTTTTGATTTCCAAATATGACTGCAGATGCTTATGATTACTGCCAAAACGTTTTTGTAATATTTTTATGTCCGTAGTTTTGGTTTATGTGTAGCTAAAACTCAGTTCCATTACAGTGAATCTACTTTAATTGTTAATTTTTTTAGCCGATTATTCTTACATATTCATCATTTTTTCTGTCTCAGCTTCACCTTCTGCGACTCCGGAACCATATGGATCGTTCAGAACAAATTTCTATCTTCTGAAGTTGAATAATCAAAGAGACAGTTTCCACACTTTCCTGATCAATCATGACACTCAAAGAGAACCAGTTGTTCACCACTGAAATAAAAATACTTTTTGCTGATAACAACAATTTTTTTAAATTATGTGTCTGATTCATTTACAGATTAGAATATTTATTTTGAGCTTTTTTCATCACATTAATGCAGCAGCATCATCTCACATGTGCCTTATTCATTAATCTCATATTGTTCTGTTTGTGCTTTAATAATTGTTTTTGTTTGTTGATTGCATATGAATTTTGTTGATTATTTTATGAGTCTGCGTTTCAATAAATCTTATTATAATACACTTCTGTACGCCACTCTAACCCCTCAGTAATTGCGATCACTGGAAGAAAGACTCATTATGTTGCTTCATTTTGATGAGCATGACACTTTGTGAAATGTATAGCTTTTTAATTATTTGTTTGAATGAGTGAATTATCGAATTAGATTCGTTTTAGGCTTGCAAATATGATCTGAAATCATTTTGGGGATTTGTGTTGTTGTGTCTTTTGGTAGTTCGAAGAGGAATTGTCTTCAACAAAAAATGAGGAAGATCCCTCGCGAATATTTATAAATACATCCGATGAATCGATATGAAGAGAATGCAAGTGCATAGGCCTTTGTAAGCCGATAAAAGCGAATTAACAAAAACTTATAATTTGCCTTTGTTTCATTAGTCAAGGGGGTATATCGTAATATGTGCACGTTTATTTCACACATTCGTGATCTATTGACGATTGCGCATTCCACATTCGGGCAGCTCAACTGCTCATCGTGCAAAGTCGCCTCTTGATTTATGTGATCACCTTCATAAAAATTTCATAGCATATATTATATTGCAAATATTGTTGGAATGTGCACTTGTGGATGTTCAAAAAACGAAAAGTTTCTTCATAAATTTGATATTTCTACATTCTCTGTGGAAATTCCTCAGAATGATAATTCTCTCCTCGTATGCGTATTTGAGCCAAGTTGTTTTTGATGCGTTGTTAATATTTGAGTATTTTACTGTGTCTTCTGAGAGTCGATTTCTTAAATTACTCAGTTTTTCCTAGCCTTATTTCAGCTCCTCAAATTCTGTAGTTACTTCACTCACACAGCAATAGGCCCCATGGACATTATCGAACTAATCCGAAATCGAAATTTCAATTCTTGGATTTTAAAATTTCGAAGTATTTGAACTCAAGTTTTATTTCGGAAAGTAAAATTTCGCCGAAGAGTTTGAAATTTCGAATTAGCAATGGGAAATTGGCAAAGTAATGCGAAGTATTCAAATTTTGAATTCGTGAGGAAAATGATTATTCGCAACTTTATGATAATTTTTTGCTGTCATATTGATTTGCATTCGTTAGAGCGCAGTAAAAAATTCATCGCCGAAAAACGAGATTATGTGGTGAAGACCTAATGTCTTCATTGAAATTACACTCTTCACATCTCGCTGTTTCAGTTCGATTCCACCGAGTGCTTTTCAGAGCAAAAACTTAGTTAATTCTAATACAAAAGTGAGTTCTGTTATGGACATGAGATGTTATAAACTAGTGACGGTAACCGACCGAAGTTTGCTTTATAAGCGCAATAGTGTTCGCCAGGATTTCGCAATGCGGATTCCCAGCAAGGAATTTTGATATTCGGTTGGAATTCCGAGCTCCGATTGAATTCGGTGGAACTCCCGTCAAAAATATTACAATTTCGATCGGAATGCCGGATTTGATTTCGAAATCTGAAGAAATTGGTTCGGTCGTGTTCCGGTCGTTTCTGACTAAACTCAAACTTCGTTCGGTTACATCATTATTATAAACTAATCTTTGCGTTTTGCAGTGTTTTGAGTTGAATTGTTTGTTTACGACGTCGATGAGTCAGTCTGTCTGTAGAATGTAATCGAATTAATCATATTTTTCAAAGTGATTTCTCATTGAATCTTTTTCGTTTGACGCCGTTCATTTCATTTATACAGTTCACTTTTGTCTGTCAACAAATAAATATTATACTTAAACAAAAATGCACGAGTAATATTCAAGTATAATTGCAGTTACCAGATAGTAAAAACTATGCAAGCAGAATAGCGCATATGATTGACATTCATTCACACATTCATTGACCGTTCATTTAGCTGCATTCAAAATTCTTTCTTCTGAAGACTTTCAACGAGGTGTACTATTGAAAGATTCAGTATTGAAGTGCGTTTATTGTCCTGTTCATAGTCTACGTTATTGGACAGGTATTAGCGATTTTTAATTTTCACAAGTCACAAATATCTTGAACGTATCTCCTAATCAACCACTCAAACCTTTCTACAGCTAGTTCAACAGTATCTTGTTTGCATTTTTTTCACATTCTTTTCGAGTCACTATTGATATCCTTGACCTTCACGCACCACGACTGGCAACTTCCAGTACTCTTGAGATGAGGCATCTAAAACCGCTGGAAGCTTTCTCAAATGTTCGTGATGACAGCCGTTGCTGTCGCATCTTCTTCGTTAGCGGTCGTTTAGCAATATCAAATTGAGACCGTAAATGCAGCATCAAAAAGAGTGTGAACGTACCGCATTACGAAGCAATAACGTTCAAATATTGCATGCTGTTTTGAATGATTGATCTATGGAATGAATGATTCATAAACAATATTTATGTATCGCACCAAATTCACAGCATCAACTAAACGTTATATTTTATTGTATTATGCGATGATGGTTCTTTCTCACTCTTTCGTATTATGCGCATTCGTTGAATCATAAAACCTTCACCTGATGCATCGCTAACATCATCTTATTATGCTAAACTAACAATTGAAACATTAAAAAGTACTTGCGAAGAGATATTTTAAATGACCGTTAATATAGCATGTCTATTTCCAACAATGCAAGCAAGCATTCTCTCTTCAGATATGCATTTGGCAATCATTTTCCATCAAAGTCTATGTTTACATATAAACTGAACTGCAGATCCCTACTATACTCAACGTTCAAGTATTTGTTGCCAGTTATCATTTGCCAGAACAACCGTAATCTACGAAATGTTTCTGAAGTTCATTTGTGTGAGCTCAGCAAATCGGTCAGTTTGTGAATGTGCAGTGTTTATGAGCGGACTCGCTACAAGACCTACTCGATGTTGTTCTTCTTCTAACAGTAAGTGAATTGGATGATGTGAGGGCAAAACTAGTAATAATCTGTCTGCGTATACGTTCAAACAACGGAATTAGTTGTTTTGAAATAACGGAATGTTTGATTCGGATGTTCGTTTATTTACCTTTAAAAACAACAACTCATCATTGAAAGCAGTCAATCACTCACATTCGTATATCATCTGTTTTGTCTTTATTATTCATCACTGAAAATGCAAATATAAACTGAAAAGAAGCGCATTGAATGTGAAATTGGATACGTAACAAATCCATAATACTTCCATATCTTCTCATCTGCCTACGAGCGCCAGTCATGTTTGCTGCCAACGATACTCCCTATTATGGCCAGCTGCTACGTAGTTATACCTAATCATTCAATAAAACAGCAAACATTCTATAAAGCAATTCGTATTCATTGATTCCGTTGCAATTGCTTTTTCGTGATTTTTTGCTGTCTTTTAAACTATTTGCGAGGCTAATTCCGAGAACACTTGAAGAGCATCACTTGAACCCTAATCAGTTTCGAGCGCGATTCATTTTATTCATCACCATGGAATTAATCGAGGAATCTCTGCGCAAGTTCACTTCCAGAGTGCCTTCATTAGATGGAACAGTATCGTTTTGCATGAGAACAACCGTTTAGAGCGAATAATTTGTTTGAATCGCTTGGTGTGATATATTAGCAGGAATCGGTGGCAAAAGTTGATTCCTCGCATTCTTTCGTATGATCGCAAAAAAAAGAAGGCAAAAGCGAGCGTTGGTTATTCCGCTTTATTGCTAGCATTTTTAATGAATCCGTAAGCACGTTGTCTTGAACGCTATCCAGTTTTTCGAAAACGATTCCCAGTCATTCAATTTTTTCTATTGTGTGAGGCATTTTCTTCAAATCATCAGCATATGATAAAACGTGTAAAAAGTACATTAACATATTTATATTCAAGCATTATTGTTACAACGATTCGACACGAAAGTATTCATCTCACATTCATGTTGAATTCTATTGACCCTTTTGAATGCTGTTCCTTGGCTTCTCAGCGTTAATACTGATCAAATTTCGTGACTTTATGAGTTGTGAATGATTGCAAAGTGGAATCTTCCGAGAAGAATAATTTGTATAGTTGTTCGTAATCGTAGCACGATGCAATCGTAAGTTTACATACCCGCAAATATTTTGAATAGTGATCTGCAGCATTTTAAGGACTTCTGTATTTTGAGAACTATTGTGACCAAAGCATCGATCACTTCAAGTGTCACCGATACCTTCTTGAATTTCTATGTTTTCCTTATCGAGCATAATCTGAGATTCGGGTATTTTACAGACTTTTTGGGCAGAAATCGCCCATTGTAGAACTGTCACCTTGTCTTTCGATTAGCATTGGTTCAGTGTAGTGCTGAACAATTTCTGTTAGCAAAAGCACTGGAAATCCTCGTAACAAATATTCGTGCATCGCTGATTTTTGGCCAATTCAATAATTTTGACGAAAAAAAAAATCCGAGAGAATCTGTGTCTGTGAATTCAATCGTTCAGTTAGCGTTGAATTGAGTTGCCCTGTTGCGTATTATTTACTTTTTAGCTGTTGAAAGCGCTCGTGAGTCATTGTTGTCTTTGCTCAAGAAAATGTCAGTATAACTGTTGCATTGTCACAATAACTTTCTTGTGGAAGGACTCAGTTCTTATTTCGCTTTTGTTGCATAATTGTTTCATTACACACTATGTTCACTGAGTAAAACGCTGCTTTCATTCTTTTTTCAGCTGATTCGTAACTTTCATCTGATGTTGACAGTACTGCTGCTTTGAGAACTGTTTCAGTTGTGCTTTCGTTATCGTTGTAACTCTCGATGAATACGAAAATTATTCAGATGAATTGTATGTTGACAATGACAAGATGATCCCTCTGCCGGTACTTTCGAGTGTGATATTCTTATCAGTGTGCCATTTCATCAATGGTGAATTTCTGATGAAGTTTTGATCAAGATTACTTGAAAGATTTTTGATTTGAAACTATACTTGAAACCAGCTGCAGAATACTGGTTGAGGTCTGTATGGCTTTACTTTATCGTGAACTTTGTTTGCAGTCACTAGTGAGATAATTTTATAATGTCAACACGATTGTTGCATAGAACATATTGTGAAATTATGGGAAATAGTCATAAATACTGAAAATTCGAAGTAAGGAAGCTTCATGAACAGATGCGAGGGCGTTAGTAATGGTTTAGTTGATCGTTACTTGACTGCGATGGTCAACATAGTGTGAACTTTATATGAGAGTACAATAATGTTTACTCACTTCAGTATGAAACTTTGAAACGCATTAAAAATCAGCACAAATTGCAGTTTATATTCTCGTTCTTATTGTTAGTGATGGCGGTAGCAGTCGATTGCTTCAGAAAGCAAAAGATTGGAGTGTAGACGGGATTGGTTTTGTTTGTTCAAGAACATTTCAAGAGCACATTGGCTTATGGTCGCTATAATTCACTCGAATTTGCCTTTACCTCAGATGCATAGGTATTTGTTTGTCTTATAAAACCGTGCATTTATAATATCACCGATTCATTCTCTTCATTGAAATCCTTTGCATTCGTTGTATTTGTACTAATTTACGTTCGGCACAAACCCGCAAATCCAGTTTTTTTCGAATTTTATACTAGAACTCGGTTTTAAACTCCCTGTTTAATTTATCAATAATTACAACCACTACGTCATTTGTTTTCCATAAATCCCATAAAATTTTTGATCAGCTTAAGATCTTGAACATTTTCTTCCACGCGTCTGTTTAGTGAAACAAACTGGTGCGCTTGTTGTAATATGGGAACATCAATCGTAACAAGCGCTTGAAAAAATTCAGTTTCATTGATTATACGACGATGGTTTCCACTGTAATAACCCTTAATTCTGCGAATATGCTAAGAGTTTATGTGTGAACTGATGCGATATCCTGTTACCTGATGTGAACTGAAATTTATTGTCGATTCGTCGAATAATGGAGGCACTGTTCTTCATTTAAGAGGACAGCACTGATTGTGAGTGTTTTGTAATGAACAGTTGCAGTCGATCGATGTGTTGCCCATTCTGCGTAAAATGTAATTCATTCAGCTGTACATTTCGTACTTTTGAATGTGTTCTTGTGGTAGGATGGGTAACGAGTGGCGATATGATAAGGTTATCAATACCTCGAAAGACATCCCATAAACTATTCAATACAAATATCACAAATGTTTCTTCATTCATCACTCACTGCTTACGAAGCACAACGAATTGATTGCGTCAAGCTGTATAAAGCATATAATGTTTATCGTTTCATCAATTTTAACGTTAAATTCACTATTTCTCGATTAATCAAAATTTTCACTTTGATATATGCATCGCTCCAAAGAATTAGTAACGTTTAGCATCAGTTGATGATCTTCATCTGCTTTGTGTTCTCAGATGTAGCAGGGCTTATTTTAGAAAGTGATGAGGGTGACAGTTGAGGACGGACAATTTTTCTTGAATTTCGAATGATCTCTTTTCGCAGTGATCTTTCATATACTCATTTAAGAAAGCATAATTTCGGAGGCTGCAATCAAGAAAAAGAGAGAAAACCGAAATTCGCGTACTGCATCGCCTTAGAATCAATCGAAAAAGCAATTTGACCTAATGACTTTTCATACTATTTTTTTGGAGCAAACTTTCGATTGGGTTGTTCCTAAAACAATAGATGTGGACAGAAACTGCGTTCTTCACAAATTTATTTTTCGCCATATAATCAATTATCTCCTCAAAACTCTGTTTGAATGGTGTTCAGTGGAGATGCTAAAATTTAGTCAGCAGATTATCCACTGACGGATAGCGATCGCACCTTTAAAGCATCCATGATCAACTCCAACGTCTTAAAGAACGAATTGCATTAGACCAGCTCTAATTGATCTTATCAGAAGCTGGTCATTCCTGCAGTTTTTGTGCTCGTTGAATTGTGCAGTCTCAACACAGAAGATTCCCTGTTCGCTTTTCTTAGCAAAATGTAAAGACACATCAAAATGTCTTCTCTTAAAAAGACACATCGAAATGTCATTTTGCTGACTAATATTGCCACTCATTTGATAATCACCTACACATTCATAAGCTAACGCTTTAGATTCAACGATGATCTCATCACGATGCTCGTCATCCGTTTGCATTCATTCTACACAAATGTTGATTTCTTCGTTTCTTGAAAATATTGAAATCATTGTATAACTCTCTTGAGCACTGTGCACAGCTCCTATATTTGCGATCTTCCATACATTCAAGCGTGTTAGATGGCTTCGTTGCTGAATTGGCCATGATGAGAATGAAATTTCTCATTTTATTCGCTATCATCTCCCGTGTCGATAGTATGAATATTGTTGAAAGCGTAATTGCTGACATAAATTGTTGAAAGCGTATTTGCAAAGGTTAGAAAACCGTTTGCAGCTTTTATACAGTTCCATTTCTGTACCATTCGAGTTCGTACTTAGAAAATTATCAGCCACAAATGTTCGCATCATTTTTTCATACCATAACCAACGTTGTTTGCTATGTTATCATCACACGCCAGTAAGAATGTCTTATGATGATGATGATGATTAAGCGCTTATCATCTGTGTGTTTGCTTATTTGTTTCATGTTTAACGCTCCGTTGCTGTTCACTTTTCCATTTTTACTTATTTCTAATACTCGTGACAAATGTTCATTATTCATTATTAACACATATAAGGCAAATATAGATGTATAGATCCAATTCTTAGTTAAGCAGGTATTCCCTTGATGGATACAGTGTAGCAAATAGAAATGAACAGCTGTGATCTTGAAACAGATTTTTCGCTATGAATTAAGGGGGAGGGGGTTGTATTTAGAAATTAATTTCACATTTTCATAAGGAATAATAATTCGAAAATGGCTTTCACAAAGAAAGGCCACGAACTTCCTCCCACGTTTTATCACGCGTATTTGAACCATTGGTCATTCAGCCTTGATGCCGGTGCATTACTCGCTAGACCCGTCGTCGGACGAAAATTCAGGACGTTCCTTCAATACATGGGAAACCTTTTCCCCATCATATCTTGCGCTCCCTTTGTGTTTAGTAAAAATTTCTTACATATCCACGATCAGCTCGCGGAGTCCTACAATGTAATATACATCTCATCCCGAAACATGAGAGTAAGTTCGTGACCACTTTTGTGCTATGGTCCGCTTCAATCGGAATGGAAGCAGGACGTGTGTTCGCGTTCAGTCTCATTCCAAAGCCTTAACTCCTAGGAAAGAGAGCGATTCACAATGAGTTTTATGAATCTTCATTCGAAATTCGTTCGCAACATGCTCCCGAATTAATGGAATTTCAAATGTAGCATAATTTATTAGTTCGCTTCAGACAACAAATAACACTGCTTACTTGCGGTGGTTTATACAAGCAGGCTTGTATCGAATGCTGTGTTTCGAGGCAATCGAAGTATATCCGGAAATTATCCTCGAATAAAAGCTGTGATCAGCAAAAATGTCTGTTGATAAAACAATTGAAGAGTTGAGTTCCACACTCGCACAGTTAGGCACACTCGTTAATCACATAAATGCTCAAGTTGTCGGTATCACATCCAGGTAAGTGATCTATTTTTGTCAACCAACAGATGTTACATTCGTGTTCTGCACTGTCCAAAGACGATCTTCTGTGTTAACCATGTGATTTTCAAAGCATATCGCTGGTTACACTTGCTTTTCTGATGCCATTTTTTTCAATAAACGACCGAGAATTTCCGTGGTATAAAGCGTTCCTAATCTCAGAGTGTCATCTTTTTGAAGTTCTTTCGCTAGCAGATTGAAAACTGTAATGCATTCGCATACGAATTAAATTTCGTATCACTTTTGAAGAATAAATATTACTCTGGAAACGTTCGATAGTTCTGTGGCTGGTGTTGCCACAGATGCGAGTGCCTTAACGCATCAGATTGGACTCACCGTTTCTCAAGTAAGTCGAAAATTCATTCCTATTCTCAGTTTATGCTTCAGTTGTTCGGATTTGATGGATCTTCACTGATCTCAGCTCTTAAAATCGACTGCTTGACAGACTGTTGTTGCAAGGCTGCAGTTTTATTTGCTTTTCTGAGACTTCGTTCATTCATTTCCGAGTGATTCGGTAGTTTACATCACGCAATCTATTGATCATTGTCGGATGTTTTGCTTTCAGATACCAAATGCGTGGGTGTTTTATCTGTTGTTGATAACACTAACTGTTGTTTTTATATTGTTGTCTATTGTTCTAACGATCAACTTACTCACAAAGTGCCATGGAATGTATCGGTTAGTCAGAGAACCGAGGGGGTCATCCTCAAGTAAGATATTTTCACCTTTCATTCCTTCAAAAATTTTCTCCCAATCGGCTCTACAAATAAAAACTTGAACGGTCGAGTATCATTCATAAATACAGTCAGCTCAAGGACTTCTTTTCCTTGCAAAAATTTGCGGGATTGCAACCATGAGAACTGGCTCACTTGATCTGAACCAAAAAGTTCTCCAAAATCGCACACCTTCGAATTGAAGTCACTTATCATGCTTTCGCTCCAAAAAACAGTGAGCAGGCATTCCTCGCAGATCAACTCATCAAGTGATTGACTCAGAAACAGCGATTGTTCAGTGATCAGTTTCTCAATCGAATCACACTTCAGTTTGAGTAAACGAAACCATATGAATATACAAATAAACAAGTTGTGTAAATTTAAATGAAGACACATTTACCGAAAAAAGTGGTGTCATTGAAACGTCTGATTCAAACAGTTCATTTGATTTTATGCGTATGAATCATAAAAAGTAAATAGCAAGGAGTTTAATTTTAGATGGATACATTTCAGATGTTTCGCATAACACCAATTCTGAAATTCTGCCAATTTATGAAGAATCAAAAACGCCCACATTGTACACTATGGGATCAGCTCGATCACCACCCGTAAACCATATAGCGATACCAATGGAATATGAGCCGAGGAGGGTGGGATACCCGATCGCAAATGGCAGTATTCGAGGTGATCACCTGTAAATGACCATTTTGTGCGAGCTTATTGAATGAGAACTTGTTACAGATGTCGTGTACAAATTGCTCTGCTTACAACTGCGTGTTCAAAATAAACTTCTCTTTCACTTATTAGTATATTTCATGAAGGGAGACGAAACAAAACTCAAGTTCAGCAGTCTACTGAAAATGGCATTTCTGCATGAAGGCAGTCAAGTTGAGAAATGCACTAACTCCGAAAAAGCTTCACCTGCACATCATACGTATAAATGAGGGATTGTTCCAGATAACTCTTCAATCAAATGCGACTCTTCAATAAAATGCAATGATAAACAACAACCTTATCAACGGAAGCCATATGATGTGAACGACGGTGGCCGTTACAATGTGCAAGCTGGTGTTGCGATACCTTTCGATCAACATGGTGCAGAAGTTTAAACATCTAATTAATTGAAACTACTTTTTGACATATATCGTGATCAGTCAGTCACTTCTAATCGCCTCTCATTTGCGGGTAAAATGAGCAATTTTCTGGGTGAATATGGATCGAGCATCTATTTTCATGATCGAATTTCACGAGATTTGTTTCATTTAATACATATTTTCTGCACATTTTCATTCAACAAACAAACAAAATGATTCATGAGCCACACATTCTATTTCTAGTTATTATTGAATATTGATCACTGTTATTGATCATTATTGATCGCTGAAAGCTTTGCGAAAAGATTCATGCCACTTATTATTGATAATGACGCGTTTTCAACTTCGAAGTGTTCAGTTTGTTTTCCGAATGAATACCTTTAGCACACATTTGAGTGTATTTCGTTCTCACTGTAGACAAACAAAGAAACGGAAATAAGTTTGCTTAACGGCTCTTATGAGGTGCAATTGCGATCAATAGTGATCGTAAGATTCAGTCGATCAACGAATCAACTTGACGACCCAATAATAGTCATTCTATAGCGGAGAATGGGTGTGCATGCTTAGAATATTGTTGTGATTGCTAAGAGCTGAATTGATGTGTGGCATGATTATACTGAATATGTTTGTGCGTGTACACATGTGATCGACAGAACATTTATCTATAAGCACCAAATTTTTTATGTTTATAGCTAAGCAGATGATTCATTGAACGTAATAAGTGAGCACTTTAACTGTCATTTCACTCAGATGCTTGCTCGATTTCCTTTTTATCATATTCATTGCTCTGATTTGTATCATAACAGAATGTTCTAGGTGCCTTCATTATTGGTGTTGTGCATTTTGTTTGTAATGTGTAATTACTTCTTTAAAAGATAATTCTTGTTGGCACCAATGCAAATATGAAACCTAGCACAACACAAGTGTATTCTCTTGGTTTATGTTCTTGCAGGACATTTTGATAATGAAACCCGATTAGTGATCATCTTCTTTATACCTTCACCGACGAGAAAGTATTTGAACGGGGAATTATCCCCTATTAAGAAGTACTCAATTACTGTCAAACCAATTAAGGATTGAAAATTGTGCTAGTAATATGCATTGGCCTATCCTCCGGTGTATTGAATGTCATTGTGCCATCATTATTACTGTAATGCCAACAGTTGTTTGTTACTCATTTATTTTCACTTTGAAGGCGCTGCCATGTAGCATAACTGTGATCTCATTTAACTGAATAATAAACCATACTTCAGGAGTCTTGCGTGCAGAGCACCTTCGAAATTTTGGATGAAAGTTTGCTTATATTCCTCTTTGGAGTGATTCACTAGTTAATTACAGCGTGAATGTTGATCAGAATTTGCCACAACGAATGTGCATAGCACAAAAATTTGATGCAATTGAAATTCCGTTAATTACCGCTACAATTGAGTCGCTATGTAATATTTTGTGGTGGACGAAAACAATTGTTTTTGTAATGAATCGTGTGAAAGGGATTAATTATAAAATGCATGCTAATTTCGTACTGCAGATGTCAGTTGATCGAGAAATAGATGACATTCGTTTGACGATTCATGAGATTCATCGTGAACTCTACAAGATCGATGCACATTTGGACGGTGCTGTTGAGAAGGTGGATAGGGAGTTGAATTATTTCGATGATCAACTTCGAAACGTTGTACAAGAAGCAAATCAAATACGCTCACAATTTGAGGAAACCATTTCTTCTGTACGTGTTCGCAACAATGTTCAGGAAAAATTTCCAGAATCATTACGACAAAATCTGTACAACTTTCGATCACAAGTGAAAATTTTCAGTCGAATATAGATCACAACTTACTTTAGATAATTTTGTTGCATTTGGAGAAATAAGACAAACATAATTTACACTGAAAAATTCACTGTCGACGTGCAAAAATTCGCACGCTTGGAAGTCACTATTATGTCGAATCGACTGATAGTAAATTTCTTTCAAATTTGTTCTCCCAGTGCAACTGTAACGAAAGGCTCACAGCATCAGTCTGGAATGAGCTGTATCACTGTGAAAGTTCTTGATGGGAGGATCAAGAAATTTTCATTGATGTGCTTCTGTCTAAACTGCTTTATGCGGGAAATGAGCGAATGTTTCGATTGATGGTTTCAGTTCCCAAATCAACAAATTTATTTGGCTATTTTGCTGGTTTTGGATGTATTGATATGGTTAATTGTTGGTTATTTAATCTACAAAGTGATGATTGCATGGAAGCATCGCCATCGAGCTGCTGAGAAATTTATGATGAAAATCTCTGGTCATCCATCAAAGAAAATTGTCGTCAATCCAAAAAATGATCCCAATTATGTCGTCTGGAAACAACCGCAACCTGATAACCCACCTTTATACGACGCACTACCAACTAACGGATTACTTCCGATGTATTCGAGGATTAACGATAAAGGTTAGCCTAATTGTTCGTTCAGTTCCTTAGACATTTGGTTTGAAGCATTCAAACTAACGCACTGATTATTTGTTCGATAAACCTCGATCATTTGAACTTTGATGAGTCTTTGATGAGTGTCTTTCCAAAAAAAACTCTTGATAGAAAAAAACCCCTACTCACGCATACTTCCGTAAAAATTCTCTCCCGATCATGATGTTGGTTTGACTTGTTTCGTTGCTAGTTAGTTCGTTGATAGAAGATTGTGTAAACTGTTTGGAGAGAGGGAAGGGTATTTGAAAGAGATATATCATTATGATAAGATTTAATGCCAACATAGCCGTTCACAAATTCTTGCACAGCTTCAAAAAAGCATTAATAAAGCGACAACAGAGAAGTGCATTATCCACACCAACCAACTATTAAGTTCATCTTCTTACACCAAAACCGAAACAAAGAGTTATTATGCACTTCATTTCGAGTTTACAAAGCAAATGCGAAGCTACTGCCAAGTAATTTCACGTACGCAAGTGTTCACAGGAAGTACTTAGAGTTTTGCACTCAAAACTGATATGAATTTCAATGTTTTAAGGAAGTCTAAGCGAAAAAAAANAAAAAAAACATAATTTTTTGGGACATATTTTCAGGAGTTTACGAAACAACTTACGGAAACGATCGGTGATTCATTCACGTAAAACTTTTTTGAGGTTATCAGTACTCCAGCTTTATGCATACGAGAGCATTCCAGTGTGTTACATAAACTTCATAATAATGTACAATCACATCAGATATTTTTAATGCTTGAACTTGTGTTTCTAATTTTGCCATTAAAAGTATTATTCTTTGGTCAGAACTATCACCAATCGATCACAATATGGAGTTCTGCTGCAGTTTAATGTCGCTTCAGTTGATAGGATTGAACTTTCGAAAACTCAGTGCGAATCAGATACTGAAGCGATGTTTTAGTATTTCATTTCGCTCTCATGAATTCATTTGGGTTATGGCTGCAGCGATAATGCAACCAACAAGCATTAACAACATTGTAAGCTCATCAGCATTATGGATGAAACGTTGATGGAGATAATCACGATCTTATGGATGAAACTAGTGTATTGCCGGGATCGGGAAATCTCGGGGACCTTGTTCCGGTTTTTCGAACTGACTGCATTTTCGGGGTCCCCGACTGCAAGATTTCGTCGCCGAATTTTTTCCTCCCCGCAACACACAAGTGTAGATAAGTGAATACTAATGTGTTGTGGGATTGGAGAATAACGGAGACCCAGTCTCCGATTACCCTTCTATATCCCCGACTTTTTTCAAGGCGACTGGAATTTCGGGTCTCCGACTGTGAAACTTCATCCCCAACTTTTCCTGACCTTTTTCGGTACCCGCCCGCTACACACTAGTTGGAACTGAATTTTTGAATGATGCTTTCTAAATTCTGCATTGTTGGTGAACAGAAATAATTTATGTATTTCACTGCGGTTCGCACATCCAAATCGATGCTGATGTGGTCATGAGATCATTCAACGCGGTCTGTATTGATTTTATGCCGTTCGCTATTCTGCACCATACAATGTTTTGACCGATTGGCACGATTTTGCCGAGTCCATTGAATAGCTCGAGTTTTGCATCACTTATTGTTAGAAACGTACTTTTTTTAGATTAGGGACGATGAATCGGAGTTTTGAAATTTCCTGACTGCAAGCAAGTGTAGCAACAAAACGATCGCTGCTATTCTGGAATTAAGACAGTTCTGCGAAATCCATGCTGAATAATTTTCGATCAAAAAACTTATCTTGGCGGATTCACAATGAAACGACAAATATCATGTGAAATTGTTAGGGTCGCATGAAACCGTTGACTGCGAGCAAATAACTTCAATATTATTTATTAGAAAGAAGATATCTAAATACCATATCGTTTACAAATAACAACTGAATTATGAGTTGATATAAACGAAATCATAGACGTCATTTTATGTTCGAAAAGGTGATCAAAAGAACAGCAGAAATAAAGGTAATATTAGTGGTGACACAAACAAACAACACCTCTAAAAAAAAACCAAAGAAAGTGAGCGATTCTGTTAAATTGGCAGTCAAAGCTGAAAAGTGATTTAGGCATAACATCAAATACGCCATACGATTGAAAGAAATGATTAATCTTTTACTCGATCCAACTTATATAACTGATGCGCGAATGAAACCTCAAAAAGAAGATGCGCCGTAACGATGGATAAGTGACACAGTAAATGATTGCTAACTTCAAGCTTTTCGAGTGCCTTGATAAATACATCGAAGTGAAATAATTCGAAAACGAATCCGCCTCGTTAGTGCACAAACCACGAAATTTACGTTCATTTCCAAGAGGTTTACGTTCATTTGCAATTGTCAATGTAAAGTGGAATTTTGCACAGCGAGTAGATATTACAAGGGTTGAATGCCGTCGTCAGCACGAGGATGTTCAGTTACCGTTGACAATCGAGAGAAGTGCATCACGATACGCTCCCGAGCATTCACCTTCAATCCAACGGATTAACGGTTTCTTATAGAGCCGTTCGAATTCTTTTCGAATTACAGCAAGATCAATCTCAGAACGCGTTACGATTAGACGAATCAAATCTCGATCCCGTGTTCCGACACCCTGTAAAATGCACTGCTTAGCGTTCCAATATCAAGTCTCAATCCGGCATAAATAAAAATTCGAATCACTGCGAATATTGAAACGGCAATCAACCGAAAGAGAATCACTGAACTAAAAGCGAAGTTCATGCAATACCTTCATTGAATGATAAAGAAGATTCGCGAAATAAACTGCTTTATTTTGAGCGCATTGAGCTAACGCGAGCAATACCTCCATTGAATCACCGTTGAAGTATTCCTTAAAATAATTTCAAATTCAATTTCACATTAGTCACGATAACATTATACTGAAAGCAACTTCTGAATCAAGTATTTGTGAATTGCGTCACATCCAGTTTCTGAGTACGCTAAATCACTCCATTTAATGTGTGAAGTGGAAGAAAAACTTGTCACTAATATCCAAATATTTCAGCTTTACAGAAAAAATATGCCATCAATGGAATGAGTTAACAAGCAGTCATAACTAATCGAAAATGCCCGGCCAAATGAGATGTACGCCTAGTTTCAGATGAAAACAGAAACTTGCGATGCGCACAAAAGCATCAGAATGAGGGCATTCAAAGAAATGAAGCAGTTAAGAAATGAACGAGTGAAATTATTACTTCAATGCCATCTTCAATTGTGCGACCCGATTCAATTGTATATTCAGCAAACAATCTGCACAACTGACGAGGATTCTCGCTTGTCAACGCACTCTTGAATGTCGTTCTCACTCGATTTCGATCGCCCTTGATAAGAATTTGAGATTCCTGCAACATCGACCCACCCATACCTGGTGTTTCAAAGTAGTTATTGGAGCAATCCTTACTTAAGATCGCTGAAGTGAAAACAGTGAATCGAACTCATTGTTTATCCAGACAATTGATGAACTCATCTCAGTTCAACGAAATTCTCCTCGTTATGTTATGAGTTAAATTCAGCGGTGAACTACTAATCCGTCGGTTTTCCTATGAAGGATTACGCAAGTTGCAGAATAACTATGAAAAATTACTGGCTTTTCATTATATGATCTCACGAATTGCTAAATGATATTTACATCTTCGCAGCGAGTACAATGATTTATGAGATGTCAGATTAACAGTGTACATACATATAAAGCTAACGTTAATAGCTACGTTACATTTTCAAATAACTTACTTCTTTTGCTTTAACCGTATCAACTGTTTCTCCTTCATCTCGATCGCATTGCAGAAGTTCCAAAAGAATCTCGCGAAATTCACCACTCGTATCATCCGAAATATCTTTCGAGAGTGATGTTCGATATTGTGTCTTATATTCGTTCTTGACATGTCGCAATTCGTCATTACTTCGCGACGATAAAATCTCAACGAGAACCGATTTTGCTGTACCTACTCCCTGGAATGTCATCAATTTACATCATTCATCACTTGCTCAGTTCAAACGAACGCTCTCAAACTTCTTTAAGGAAACAACGAACTTCCATAGGCTGCGTTCGAAGTTGCAAATGATATGAAAATAATGCAATGGATAACGATGAATATTTATGGTTTGAATTTGTGTTGTAATGCACCTACCGTAACGGCTCGATGCAGTTGGAAGGCATCATACTTGGTTGGCGTATCCATAAGTCCCAGTATCACCTCTTCAAATTCACCAGTAAGCTCACGTTTCAACTCCTCATACAAATTCTTATTGTACTTTTTGGCGTATGGTGTTCTTATCTGAACAATTTTTCTTCCTGTCAGCAATACTTACAGAAGACATTCAAAGCAAAATCGTTACCATAATACGTACGATAGGTCATTTTTCTGCTTTTCTGCTTACTAAACGTTTCATTTATCAAACGCTTGGTATGTTTCTTTGCTCACACAGAGATCACAGGCAAGCCTGAACAACTAACTGATGCAGTTTATCTCAACCAGCACATCGTGACAGGTTAAAAAATCCCCTAAGCAAACAAAATTTCATTTGCTTCCCAATAGTTTGTAGCTTTTCTCATTTTTTGTTCTGGTCATCTCTAATAAAAACGAAATCATTGCAACTATTCATCTCTTAGACAAGGGTTTCTTAGCCGGGGATGCTTACACCTGCAAGAGGTGCGAGATGGTATTCCATGGGGTATGAGTTAAGGTTTTTTTTAAAAGTTAAAGTAGATGAGGGCGGACTTCAACGCATACATGTGCATGAAGTAAGTCAGGATGGACTTTAACGTATATATTTTAGAAAAGGCTAGAACATACTCTAATGGTATACGTTTATTTACACTGCAGATTCACTTTGTATCCTCAATCACTGTAGTGGGTGAGAGATATAAAGTGGATGTTTTGAGGGGTGCGAGGACATTTCAATTATTGCTGTAGGGGTGCGAGGACATCTTAAAATTTTCTAGGAGGTGCGGGATGGAAAAAAGGTCGAGAACCACCGTACTGTACGAAATAATTGGTTAAATTGAATGGTCGTGTTCAGTATTCAGAGATGGGAGAAGATAAGGGAAAAACGATTTGATAGTGGTGCTGGATTTATGTTATATAAATCCAGCACCACTATCAAATCGTTGACCTGCATCATTTAGAGGAACGATATCGGAATAAATTGAATACCAATTGCCGTTGCGCATTACAAATGCCCGTTAAAACACGCAGCACCCGTCTTCGATCACAACCAAAACCCCGCATTGCACTTTCCAGTTCAATCGCCGCACCTTCATCATCGAAATTCGCCTTTGGTTTGATTGTACCAGTCACTTCGACTAAACTATTCAATGCGATCATCTTATCTGCAAATTATCGCTCTTCATTTCGAACGCAAATATGTGTTTTCCTCATGCTTCATGACAACACCCGCATATACACTGGTGTTGTGCGTAATAAGTTTCTTCGGCTGCATAGAACATGTAACAACATATGAAATACAACGCGCTTTTCCATGTAACAACAACGCGCTTTTCCATCGATGGAACGAAGAGCTATCGTCAGCTCTCGCTGAACGAGATGGATAATTTGCATTCATTTGCGGTGCATAAAACAATGAAACTTTTGCAAACTGATAACCCAGCGAAACTTTTAAACTTTACAAAAACAGACTGATAACATAGTTTCCTTATCAGCTTTCATTGGCAGTCATCGTTTCTCTCAATTTCGAGATTTGCATCGAAAGAACGACATGAAGCTCTTCAATGCCTACACCAAATTCTTTAAATGCCAATATGATGAAGATAGAACGAGACGTGATGATTTCCGGCCATCCTATTGCTCCGATTAGAAATTTCAGGTATTCATCAATCAAACAATAGCTTCTCATCGACAAATATCTAGAAGGTATTCGCCAAATCATCAGGATATCTTTTTTTCAAGCAAACATACATTTCTAGAACTCTTCATAAGTAATATAAGTCAACTGTCCCATCTGAACAACCGAAAACTTCCACGGCTTAAGGAATCATCAATCGGAACATCTTTTACTAGCGAAACATTGAATTAGATAGATACATTCAGAAAGTTATATTGCAAAGTACGTTACAAGCCAAATGGTGGCCCAGCTCAGGCTAGATAACATAAATAACGCTGAGACACCGCTCAATTTTTAGCACAACGTTCCGCTTGGGTGGAACTCGAACCCACGATGTACCAGCTTTCGGTAATGTGCATAATAAGTTTTTTNTTTTTTGGCTGCATAGAACTTCATAAACACCATTTAAGATGCAGCAGCATATGAATTGAAACACGCTGTTCCATCAATGGAACGAAGAGAAATATTCAACTCTCGCTGAACGAAATGGATAATTTGCATTCATTTGTGGTGCATAAAACAATAAAAGCGCTAGGGTTTGTTATCAGCAGACTTTTTGAGCACATCACAAGACAAATCGGTAAAAATGAGCAGACTGATAAGCAGCTAATAAGCGCAATCAATTATGTTGACTTCATAAACCAAAAACTCTGGTAGAAATTAATTGCAAACAAGCAGCGATTCTATAAATTGAATTAAAATGACCTGAACGATCAAAATTATGCACAATATTTCTGAGGCTAACTTTTGCATGCTTCTCGCAATAATTTAATCTTTTTTGCACCCAGTCATTGAGGACCTTAAACAGAGGAGTCGCATAATTAACCTGAGTTGTTCTCCACTGCTCTTCTGCATATAGCCTCACCTCACGTCGGTAATTGGTTCCAGGACAGGCGAATTAAATCGAATTTACTTGTCACTAGGCTATGACATAAATAATCACTCCCAGTTGTGTATTTTACTTTTAAATGCATTTTTAATAACATAAGATTTTAAGCTTTCAAACAAACAAATAAATTCAAACAGATATTTTTAAAGTATAATACCGAATGAAGTAATCTAAATTTATGAATACATGAACGCGCATATTTGTATCTGTACATGTAAATATATGTTGTAATATACTTTTATCGCTCTTTATTGTACAGTAACATGATTTTGTGTGTCACTATGAGAAGTGAAGTAGTAGGTGTGAGGTTCTGGTCGTGAAGAACATTTCACTATCATTTACGAACGAAACTGATCTTTTTGAATGTAATGCTCATTATTTTCGTTTGCAGCAATATGTGTAGACAACATACTTTGTGCATCATAAGCATGATCAATACCAAATGAATATCATAATTGCACGATACATTTCATTCTTTTATTTATCAGTTTCAAAAGATTGAAAAAAAANAATCAAAAAAATTTTTAGAGATCCGAGAAGCTTCACTGATAAAAATACGATGCACAATGCAGTCATGAATAAAAGCTTGGAATGAACCATCCGGTGATGCTACGTGACAGTAAATATGGTGATATCACTGAAGAAGCGCAATGATGAAGGGAATGCATCAGAGCTTTAACGCTTTAAAAGTGAAATTGATTATTGATTGGATTATGTAATATACATTATGAATGAATATTTGCTGTTTTGAAAACGCTTCATTGAACACAATTTGATTACATGGTACATTTCGATGAGACGAAAGTATTCGACTCTTATGAAATTGTGCCATCATCAAATGAAATTCAGCATTTTTCACGATCCCGTGCAATTGAAACGATATCCATTTTAATGAAACACAAAGAATGAAATTCCGAGAAGAAGATTGAGAATTCCAATTTGAAAGTGTAGTAGAACAAGCAAAAGCGAAAAGTTGTGCTACGAAATAAAAATGCGCCCTTATAAATACGACATCACTCCAATTGTGTACAAATACGGTAGGTACGTTTGCCTTTACAAACGAATATAATTGTAGGCGATATGGAATAGATTCAAAAAAAGAACGATCTGTTTCAACAAGAAAATTCAATGAGAGATCCGTTTGGTGAATTCTTTATGTTTTTCGTTGATTTGCGTTTGATTGTTTGACGATAATGAATATTTTGCAAAGATATTGAAAGTATTACTTTAAGCAGTGCAAAAACTGATTCATCGTAGCATTCATTGAAATTCAATATCTCAGGGAACATACTAATTGTAAACACTGTTGGTATACTTTGGAGTTATTTTGCTTCGAAAAGGCATTCACTCGCATCTGTACTTTGTAAATGTCGAGATTTTGAATGCTGATTGCAAAGCTCATCGGAATTCGACTGCATGCGATTTTAAGCAAACAATTCAAGGAACTAAAGAATGAAACTATCAAAATCTTATTTTAAGACAGACAAATGGAATAAGGTTTGATGGGACGCCTCGAAAGGTCTCGTTGGTGCACGTTAGATCATATGAAAGAAGATCATATTAACAAGTATGAAGGATAATTGCAAAGTTCGATATTATGCCGGGGTCGTGAAGCATTGATGTTGCTACTGAATAAGTGCACATGTAAACAATTCGGGTGTATCGTAAAAATTAGTGCATTTTAACAACGGATTCATCATCAAGCCGTATGTGTTCTGTATCGAATGCTAGCAGCAGCGGCAGCTATGAACGGTTCGTTTCGTCGTAAATAAACCGAATGCAAATTCAATGAATTCATCATTTTGATGAAATTTATCATTGCTTCTACATTCATATTTACAAAAATGAAATCCAAATGATTCATGTCTTATCGTTAGTGAACAGAATTCGTTGGCGTAAAATGCATAGAATTTTCGATTGTTACCATTTACGAAAAGCCTTCCTCTGCTCAAAACACTCACTATAGTACGGTCACACCATTCAAATAGATTTTGCTGAGAATCTTTGATGAAATGATATGCCATTTGATGAAAAAGTGAATAATATTATCATCGAAAAATTCTGTGATAAATTGACTGAAACTCTTTTGCATATACTTCTAAACTTATGAGAGCTGAATTTACTCGAAACGATCTTGCCACAAATTCAAACTATGTCGGAAACACACAATTTTCACAATTAAGTTCATACGTCCTACGATTTCAGTGATAACTGCGAATTTAATCGATTAGGGAAACTTGTATGCTTCCTATGTCAACTGATCACTTTGTAATGCATATTACGCATATGAATGCTCTGAAAAAGTGTTACGTATCTTCATCTACATAATTCCACACGCGAGCGTTGTATGCTGAATAAAATAAGCTAAGTACAATAGAATAAGCTGAGCATAGATAATGGATTACTTTTGTAACGATCCACTGTACTTATTCGCATGAGAAGCACGATGGAAACTGAATAGCAGTTGCATTGAAATGCCATATGACAGGTTATTTGTTATCATAATGACTTGTTTAAGTGAATCGCTATGCTCTGCTAATGTTACGATGAACTGCATTGATCCAGGGCATTCGCCTTATAATTTTCACTTTTTGGTTTCTGCATTATCATTTCACTTACAATTGTTTTCAGTTTCATACGATCCTTTCAATGTACGCATTTAATCTTGTGAAGGTCAAACAGATTCTGTACAAGAAATTTGAACGTTCGTTAAAAATAAGCACCAGCAGAAAAATATTTTTGGATTCGTTTGCTGATTTTCAGCACATAGAAACAACAAATTAGTTGACGTTTCAGGGCAAGTTTGTTAGCTGGAAACACTCAAATAAGCATTGCGCAGTACTTTCTTTATCGATTCACGAATTGAAACTTAATTCATTTGCTCATATCAACATGCGCTGAATTGGTGCTGCGACTCGTACTTTATCGGCAACATTCTTCACACAATTCTATCAGTGAAAGAAAATTTCGAAAAAGTTGTAGTAGTGTCCTGTGAACAGCAGTTCTCATAGGAGGTTTCCGCGAGAAGGGATTGATTCTTTCGTATTCCTTTTTTGATTGTTCGGTAAGATTTCACAATACACCTTTGGCTAAAAGTAAGTGATTCTTCCGATACCACTGACGATTTTTTGATAGCAAACTTCTCGACCGTTGACTCAGTTTCAAAATTTTCCTTCCAATTTTTCGCCAGGAAATAATAAATTATCCGTAACGAGAGGGAACTGTTAGATAGGGGTGGGGAGAGAAGAGGGATGGAATGATGTTCGGCATACAGCTGAAGATAGACATTATCGCAAAATTCGCCACAAACGGAAGAACATCAATAGTGGTTATGGTAATCTGGAGTTGGNAATCGTCAATCGTGGATTTGCGATTGCACTGAATGCCAGGAGTCTCCACGGTCTTTCATTATACTAATAAATCTCGGCATCAAAAGTCAAATCTGAGGTTTCATCCCGATTTTAAGATTACCACAACGCGCTTATCACACAAGCGCCAAGTTTTGACTAAAATATAGTACTGTTTTGACCCATTGAAGCACTGTGTTCAAGCTCTCGCCTCGATTGGTGTGAGTAAAAGAGCGCGTAATCGATATCATCAAATAATCTAACATACGTACTCGACCTACCTCTCGGATTCCGAGTAATGGAATTGTTTCGCATCAATCGATAACTGTTCCATCGTTTTGCACCGAGCTTATCCATCAACTTTGTTGTGGATGGATATATCGCTAGAGCTCAACAACAACGACAATGGATGGATTTGAACTACTGCGTTTACTTCGCAATTCCATTGATTCTCACCCGAATAATTCAGCGTAAAACCTGTTTTTTACAGTTCATTCAAAGCTCGAGTGCAGCGAGATGGTACACAGGCAAATCTCAGTCATCAAAAAGAAAAAACCGCCCTTTATCTGCCGCAAATCGTGATGACACAACGCCATCGCTCATTATTGTATAAGTACATAATGTGCGCTGTAAAAAATACCATAGACTTACTTCGTTGAATGACTGCTGCGAAAACGTTGAAAATATGACAAATGAGTTCCAAATGAAATACACCTTTATTATCCAAACATGTAGATCATATGCAATACATATGGCCTGTAAGCGTTAATGTGGTACAGATGTGATGCAATCTGACATGATAAAATCAGCGATCTGCTCAACTGCATTGATTATTAACTGGTAAAATTAATAGTGCTTCTTTGGGCAGCATTCTCATTGGTTAACATGGCGCGATTGAGTAGTACAGAACAGCTGTGTAAATCTTATATTAGAGACAAATCCATACCAGTGATTTTTCTAAATTCAGCCACGGCGCTTTTATGCATAGCAATTTGCAGAAAACCTGAAAGTCTTGACGTATCATTGCAACGAGCGGAATTCTGCGAGAAACGCGAGTGTACGATTCTGGATTATGAATGTTTCTTTCATGCATACGCAGCGTTTCTAAGGAAAAAACTTCATGAATCGAGAAATTAATTCCGAATGAGCAATCTTAATCTCTGAATGGTTTGCCACATTGTTTATTTATTGAGACCATTTTAGAGTAATTTATTGATGAAAATATTTATCACTTAATTGAACACAAAAAAACCCACATGCAAAACTATGTGCAAGCATTTGATTGCCCGACTTATCGGCAGAAATTTTTTCCACTCAGTTCTTTTCAATGTCTACAAAATTTCGTTCCGTCTAATACCCATCTTCTTTTATCTTCATCACTCAAACAGGTTTCTTGAGAATCCCGTTCAACTTCTCAATTATCTAAGAGTTATTGTGCTCGCATTTCAAAATAATCCCTGCATTCTTCATGAATGATTGAGATGAGTAAGTCAACAAGTAGGGACGGACATATCTATCCGAATGAAAGATATGTTTGAAAAAAACTTTTGAAGTTATTTTTTAAAAAATATATCTCGCACTCATCTCATTGCTTATGCATTGCTAAACGCGTCCATTCCGTTCTTTGTTCGCTCTACGCAAAACACTCATCCGAACAATGCACAAATGGGTACTTTAATTGCATAACATGCAATCCATCAATCTCATCGTCACAATTTTTTTCCTTCCACCACAATTTTTCTCTTCGATCATTTCCGATTTCGTTGACTGACACAGATCACGACGGAAGCGGTATTACTTTATTCATTACAGGATTATAGAAGTTACTTAGTGAATAACACCAACAACGAATGCAATACATGGAACGAATATTTTTCTTCGATAGAGATGCTCTTGTTGCTGTTGATAACGACGGAAGAATTGATCAGATCGGTAGAATGCAGACAAAAGAAAATCGTAAACGAAATTTTAATAAGCAAACTTATGCGAGAAATCCTCAGAGATACACACCGAAAATGAGACAACAAACAACTCGCATAGAATGTTCAGCAAATTATTTGAATGTTCATCAGAAAATCAGTTGTGATGAAAAACATCAACGAGAAAAGTGCTAGCGATGTCTGAAAAACAAACATGAAACAGAGCGCATAGCCATGGATGATTAACAAGAATGCATTATTATTATTATCAAAATAGCAGCATACAACTGACGACATGTAATATATGAGAGGTTTCTGTTTATGGAATAAATAATCAACGATTGGAGTGAACTGCAAAAATTTAGTGAAATGAACGGTTGAATACTTGTAAATTAATTGGAGAAATATAGGTGATTTTTGAAAAATTCAATACAAATCAACAGAATAGAAAAAANAAAAAAGGATTCTGTGGCAGTTAGCTGATGCAATAGAGACGTTTAATTGCCTTTGACAATCGTGATCAACGCATCACGATACGCACCCGAACACTCAGATTTGATCCAGTCGACGAGAGGCTTCTTATAAACTCGCTCGAATTCATCGCGGATATCGGCCAGGTCAAGCTCCGAACGTGCCACGACGATACGAATCAAATCGTCATCCGCTGTTCCAAGACCCTTCAAATTTTCATCACACCATAAATCACGCTGACTATTGTCAATCTATTGACTGACCACATAATGAAGAGGGTTATTTTATGGTAGAAGCCGAATGCGAACTCAACGAACGATTGGAATTCAGTGGATGCGAAGTAGACAATGAATTGGCTCCGACCGAGAGTAGCAAACATTATTTGTGAGCTTTATCATTCCCATTGGATTCCATTTATGAGAGCGATTGTTCATAAAAATAAACAACTTTGATTGAGCAACCTTCATTGCTTCGTACAGTTGACGTGCGAAGAATCTTGGTTTATTGGACAGCGAATCAATCAACGCTAGGTACGCTACTTTAGCATCGCCCGAGAACATTTTCTGAAGATGAAAGAATAGGTTTACATCATTCGAAATGCATCGAATGACCATTCCACGATTTTCAGCGATACTTGAGTTCACGATACCACGCTCACGATTAGTGTTTCGAAACCGTTCGTAAAATCAGTCCATGTCACCACTACGGCGAAATAATAGTTTTGTATACTCGAGACAGGAATTTTGAAGATTTGAAGTATTTGGAAATGATCGATTGGGCGTAAATTCAAAGATTTTTCACCGGTAAGATCAGCGGTTAATAAAAAATCGCACTTCAACTTCCTCTTGCATTGTTTCACCGCTAAGACTTTGATGTTCACTGAAAAGCCTCGCCAGCTGTCTGAAGTTCTCGGTTGTGAATGCGTGCATCATAGTCGCCTTATCGGGTTTCTCTTTTCTCGCTTTATTTCCCATTATTTTTCTCGCTTCCTACAACATCAACACTTCATCATCAGTCAAGTATATCTGCGTTACATTCCAAACACAACAACTGAAACGATGCATCTGTGCAAACAATTATTCGGGCATTTCTGATTGTGACTGTGAGGGTGAGGGTGAGAGTATCTCTAAAAGTAACCACTCTTCAGCATCGCACTATCAACGCAACAGGAATACTCTCATGACTATTTTGCTTGTATAATCCTTAATAATATAATATAATCCTTAATATCACCATTGAAATGATAACTCTCATTACTGTTTTGCTAGTATAATCCTTAATATCATCATTACATTCTTAATATGATACTTAACATCATCATTACACTAACATCACCATTATTATCGCTGTTAACATCACTATCATTATCATTAGCAGGACTTTTTTTCACCGTCGTTACTGTTATTGTCGTTATTATCACTGTTTCTATTACACACTTACTATTATTATTATTATTATTATTATAACTATTATTATTAGTTATTATTATCACTATCATTTTCATTACTATTATTATTATTATTATTATTATTATTATTATTATTATTATCACCGTTTATATCATAATGGAATGACATAAGCAAAGAACAATAGTAAGAACCTCGCGAGCTTTTCCAACGTCCACATTGAAAGTGACATCTCGTTTATTATTGAGAAGCGCCAATAACAAATCTTTGAAGTCTCCACTCGTATCACCAACAATATCTTCTTCGAGTTGTTTATTGAAATTGTTTTTGTATTCAATCTTGATTGCATCCATCTGGTTGTTTGTACGTGAACACAGTATATCAACTAATGTTGATTCACGCGTACCGAGTCCCTTCAAACTTATTTATGTTTATCATTACTGCTACTGTCATTACAATACATTTTCATAAATGCAAACGATTGCTTATTGACAGCACTTGCAAGCAATATTGCTTTGAATTGAAACGTATTGGTTGCAATCTCAACGAGCGATCTGGGTGAATTCGATTCAACTGACTGATAAATGAATATCTGATGAATATCAAATATGAATGTATAAATCAAATATGAATGAATATCAAATATGAATATGAATGAATATCAAATATCTGATGTAAGAACCTTGACAGCTTGATGCAGCTGAATAGCATCATATTTAGTTGGTGGTTCCATCAGACCAATGATAACATTCTCAAAATCACCCGATAATTCCCTTTTCAGCTCTTCGATCAAATCCTTGTTGTACTTCGTTCTGTAAGGAGTTCGAATCTGAAAATTTTAAAATAAGAACGATAACAACAATTTCATTCGGATACTCATTACATAAAAGATTCAAGAACAAGTGAACAAATACAATACACAATGGTGGTCAAAATGTACTCTGCATTAGATAGTCGAATAAGTTTCCACAGCAAAAATCAAAAATGATGAATTTACGGGGAAGCAGCCTTGTCAACGTCCGAAATGTCCGTTCCATGCAAGCGCAAGTCGCACTCAATCACATTTTTTTCCGATTCACAATGCCGAAATAACGCTTCAAAGTCACTTGGAAGATGCTTCATTTCGTAAACAAATCGTTTGCATTTTTCTCCAAGGCTTGGCATACACAGTGCAGAATTTGACCGTTGGATCAACCCGTTCCAAAGTATAATGAATGAATCAAAAAGCAAACAATCACGGCCAAACGAACCATTTGTCGTTGTGCATTGTTGCATTTGGCGATCACTTCGATGACTTTGTTCTTATCGCAACCTGAACCTTTCATCGCCTTCTCCAACTGTTCGGCTGCCTCTTCCGCATCGAAATTCGGTGCAGGTTTTATGGTACCTTCGTATTGACGGAATGCCATTTCCAATCCTTGTTCAGCGCCTCAATTCAAATTATGACTTTTCATCTTGTACAACGACATTTTGATGCAACCGTGCAATCCTCCCAAGACAGCGGACAATAACAACTTTAGTTATATTTAATTGCTAATGGCAAATGAGAAATTCTAGATGAGGCGATTCTCGTTTCTTTCCCAACAATATCAAATCAATTCATTTCTGAGAGTGAGGCAAACGAGCCAGAATGGTGTTGTAATCACAGTAGTGATTTAGAACGTTGCAACGAAAAAATATGTTTAGGATGCATAATGAAAATGAACACGAACAAACACTTAATCTTCACATAATTGTACGACATGAACGTAATGCACAATCTCAGCCACATAAAACAACGAGCATTACGATTGCGATATAGAACGAAAAAATAATGAAAAACGATAATGTTATAGGAATCGATCAGCTAATGCATAGTTATTCGCAATAGCAGTTAATTTAATGCGCCTTTTTAAAAAGAAACATCGCTTGATCAACGTGAAGAACGGACACAACGAATGAAATGGGAAAGAATTAATTTGTTGCTACAAAGGAAATAGAAAAAAATCTAAAAATTCGAGTGGTTAGGACGAATTCCATCTGCTTGCATGAAAAACTGAATAACTGATTCACCGGTTGGTAAAACTCAATAGTAAGAATTCCACTCCAGACAATGAAATAATAATGCAGCATTTACTTCACCATGCCACATTAATACTTCAAAATAATTGAAGAACACATATCCATGTAACTCAGATTGCCCACAGAATTTCAAAAAAAAAAACCATCAGTTTGACGGAAAAGTTTGTGATGATCATCAAGATAAATGCACTCAAACTAGTAAAATATTATGACTGATAGTTACACCTTCATTCGTGCGCAAATAAAATCAATGTTATGATGGATACAACTTCGTTCACATTGCGATGCACACTTTCTACTGCAGATGCTTGTGAATTACAGAAACATTTTTGTGTGTTGCATATTTTCTGTTACATTCTTTCGCGAACGACACCCAACAATAAATGATGAAATCGTTTTTCGATTAACAATCCAAACAAAATGAAACAAAACCATTCACGCAAAAATGATTCACATGAATTTATTTCATCTACACTTCAATTCATATTGGTTTCATTTCGCCTAGAACAACGAACAACCAACCACAACCAAACGAATTCTAAGTCAAGGTCGCAGCATCGGTGCTTTCTTTGAATATCAAACAGTGCACTGGTAACGTTGAAAGTTTGCGCAAGTGTGCTAAAGATTGGCAATCAAAACATCGAATCGAAGCCCCACAATCAGATAAATAATAAGAAAATAACGCAGTCCCAAAAAATGCTGATTCGTCAGAAATTCGCGTTGCCCGCAGTTCATTCGTGTGAATTTGTTTCACTTTCTGTTTGTATGTAATAAATTTTCCAATGCCATATTGTTGTGAACGGCTCATTTAAGCACTACAGCTTGTGCAATTTCAGACGAAAAGCAGAATGAAAAAATAAATGCAGAAAACTTAACAAATGCAGTATTCTTCAGCGAAGTGTGAAAGATTGCGCAACAGAAAACATAAATCTCACAAAAATTTCCTACATAAAACGATATCTGTTTATAGTTCATTTGAATTCGACCGAACAGCTACACTGAATCAACTCTTTTACAAATGCACCTATTTTATCAGCATTTCCATTCGATCATCAGATTTGTGAGTAAAACATCAAAAAGACGGCTTTTTACCTCTTCTAACCTTAGGAAATGCTCACCATCATATTTACAAGCTATGAAGCAGCAAAAAACCTATTTCCCTTTCATTCCATTACCTTCCCCGCTACAATTTCCTTCATCTCACATTAGCCGCTATTATCCGTCATCACAATATTCAGAGTCATTATTTCTGTGCGATTAGATGAAGTAAGTGCAGAGAAGGGAGAATATCACATTCGTTCACTTGAACTGAATTCCATTCTGCTTCAGCACATCTCATCGTTCAGTTCCNCATTTCACTGTTTTCATTTGCATCCTCCGAAACGAAATTGGACAATGAAAATAGAGGATCGATGTGGTAATGAAACACGATGATATGGTTTACTTGATGATTTGCTTTCGTTGACGAGGGTCGAATAAATAAAGAAAAAAACAACGATATCGACTCATTCATTCGCTGCATGACTCGCTCGCCTACAAAAAGAACGAGTACAAATCGAATGAATGAATAATAAATGAAATCCTCGTCGTCGTCCTATCGTAAAAATCAAGCCATGCCCTATTACTCACAGTTGATGATGTTCTCAAGTTGTGTGTGTGTGCTTCTCAAAGTCATACAAAAAAAATTTCATCATGAATTTCCTTCCTTCCAGTGCTTCGCAACACTAATTCAATATCACTCCATTGCGCTTAATTAACAAGCATCAATTCACTGTAAGCAATGAGCATGCGTATGCTACCAATGCTATTCTTGTTCGCAAAATTTCGTTTGTTGTACGCCTTGGGGACCACTAGATGATAAAAACTGAATTGTAGGATAAAGAACGACAACAATCCACTGTACTAAGATCTCATCAACTGGAAATACAAAACAAAAATTATGAACACACTCAACGAAGAACATCAAAAACGTTTACGCGATTGTTATATGGACACCTAACGGAAAGATAAATAATGTGAAAGAATTTGATGATGGATGAAAAGAAGTGAAAAAGGTGACTTTTTCGTCGACGAGTTTATTTGTGCTAACTGCAGGATGCACCTAATTGGTGAGGTAATGAAATGCGTAATATTATTTGCGTTATCGATTTGGCACTGAGTTATTCCAATGATCTGTAATATAGTACACTGCTGTATCGCTGCTAACGCTGCACAAGCTTACTGAATGAAAAAAAAATTTGTCTTATCAGACATTTGCAATGCCACGAAACTGAATTCATGAACAAAAAAACGACTGCTGAAAATTCAGTTTAACGCAGACAGCTCTGATGATACAAGTGATTGATTCTAACGGATTCATCAAATAGCGGACAGTTGGACTTACGCCTTAAGGGTGTTAGACTCTCTAGGATGCTTAATGGCTATGAGGTTTGGTTTTGTCTGCAATGACAAGTGTGATTTAACACATACCATCATTCTGCACATGGACGAACGAGTAACAATAAACGAAATCATATAAAACATCAGAGAAAATTTTGCGCGATGCAATTGTTGGCATCATATTGATTATGGGATATCCACGAGGGAGTGGAATGGAATGGAGACCGATTAGGAGCAGGTGGCACGTGCTGATGATGAGCGAATTAGTGAGCAAAGCACTCTGTCATTCAAATCATTCGACACCTCAACATTTATCCAAGTGCATATTCAAGACGAAATACAGCGAAAACATATGCAAATTGCAATATTTCGACAGAAATTTTCGAATTTCTTGAGTCTTTTTTTGCAAAAAAAAGTCATCATCAAACCGAAAATAACCGACACGAGAAGTTTTGACGAGAGTAACTGATAGCAGCATGTCAAGTCATTAACACTAAGCCATTAAGGAATAATCATTTCAATGCAAGTCAAACTGAGCAGGCGAAGGAAGGAAGCATGCATATGCATCAGATGTTCATCAAGAAACCTATAAGACAGGAGGATAACATCTTCGTTTTTCAATTACATCAACATCGACCACCAGTAAACAACAACTAACTCAGCTAAAAACAGAAGCGAACACAGACACACGAAAACATCCATGCACAACACATCGATCATGCGATCGGCCAGCGCCAGAAGCTCATTGCCATATAATGCTGCCCCTCTTTACCTCTACCACCATCAACTGCTCATCAACTCAATTGCCACTGCTCCCTCACCCTTCACGGCTCGCTCTCTTACCCTTCCCTCCTCCTTCCTATCTGAGCACCAAAAAGCCTTCTAACAGCTAAACCTTAAGCGTTATTACTTCATCTGAATCTACTTATGTATTGTTGTTTTGTTTATAAAAATACAGCGCACACTGCTAATAATGATCACAAAATAAGAATAACCGAAATAACAACAACAACAAATTTAATCCGTACAAGCTGAACACCCATAATAATACTTGTTTTCAGTGTCGGATGTTATTTTCAAGCAGACAATGAATAAATAATTTTGCTGCAATGGATGGATATATGTATGTAATCGGTTCCGTTAGGCCATAAACAACTGAATTGCTGTTGTTTATATGGCACATAAATATCACATACCGCTTATGTGCGGGTTCTAAAAACAACTCCCTCCAATCAGCAAACGTGTGATTCAACAATTCTTTCCTCCTAAACTCATCTCACAATGAATAGGCCACTGAAAAAACATGCTCAGCTAGTCATTGGTGTATCGTTCTGCAAAAGAGATTCACTGCAGAACTTTGCGCTCACTATCGTCCAATCTGACTATAGGGATAGAGTTGAATACTTTTTCCTTTGATAAAATAAACGTCTTCATTCCCTTCATAACAAAGCAATATTGATAATTTTTTTAAATTACAAGAATGGAGAAATTCATAGAACATAAATCGCCAATTCTAGCTTCCAGGATCCAAAACATACATGAAATCTTTAAGATCAGATCCATTGTTACCTCGTCCCGACAATGAAAATGAGAAATTTAAGAAAAAAGAAATTTATTTCGAGATGCAGGCTGCCAGTGATCAAAACTTGTTTCATTTTGTGTAGTGACATAATCAATGCGAGCAAACCATACTGATGAAGTTATTGAAATGGCTCAAAGAGGTTTTTCTGAAAATCTTTCCTTTCATTATCGATGGAGTAATGTGCCGCAAGAATGACAATGTATTTCGAAAAATATGAGCAGCATTCAAAATTTGAACAGTGAATGAAAGAAACGATGCATGAAAAGTGAACTTGACAATGCGCATATAATATGAGCTGAAATTAATAATCGAATGAAACGATGTTATAAGCAAACAAGAATCTGTAAGTGTAATAATGACGATAATAATGATACATCAACGATTTACAACGTTATTTATATACAA